AGTTAAGGTTTAATGGCTTAGATTTTCATATTTATGCGAGTGACAAATCTATTTTGTGTTTTAATTTCAGTTGTTTGTGGAATGGATGTTTGCTTTTGAAAGATTGAGAAGAGTTGAAGGAGAAAAGTTTGCAAGGCGAGCTTATGATTGAAAAGATAAGTATATATATTCGTCCTAGTTGCGTTGACTTTATTTTATATGTAAAATATGTTTTACACTTGACTATTTCTACTTGTTTTTGTGTTTATTGTTTGTTATGATCATTCTTTTTATTGTTTTCATCCCCCAATACTCTCATTATCCGATAGATTCCTTTTCATTTATCGTTGTTGTTTTCATGGTTTTTCAAACCTTTAATTGTTTAGCACTTTTTTGATAATATGTATTTTGTTCGTTTTTCTATTCTTGAAATATTGTTTTATTTCTTTTTTTTATTTCCTTTCTATTAAATTGTTATATATTGGAAAGAAATTTGAATTATTTGGAGGAGAGCAAAAGGACAAAGTATGGAATAATATTAGGAGTTTGTAACATGTAAAAGAGATTAATAGAACGCAGAATTCAAAGAGGTTTAGGCCATAGGGCTCGGGGATTAGAGTTATAGGTGTTAGAGGTTAGGGGTAGGGTTTACGGGGATATGGGCTAAGAGTTAAGGTTTAAAGGCTTAGGGGATAAGGAATTGGGTTTATTGTTTTTTCGCTTCTTTTGCTCCACTAGCTCATCTTTCTTCTCCTATTTTTGTCACTTATTATGTTTTGTTGTTTTTTCTTTAGATTTTCATATTTATGTGCGTGACAATCCTATATTCTGTATTAATTTCAGGTATTTGTGGAATGGATGTTTGCTTTTTAAAGATTAAGAAGAGTTGAAGGAGAAAAGTTTGCAAGGCGAGTTTATGATTGAAAATATAAGTATATATATTCGTCCTAGTTGCGTTGACTTTATTTTCTATGTAATATATGTTTTAAACTTGATTATTTCTACTTGTTTTTGTGTTTATTGTTTGTTATGATCAGTCTTTCTACTATTTTCATCCGCCAATACTCTCATTATCCCATAGGTTCATTTTGATTTCTCGTTGTTGTTTTTATGTTTTTCCAAACCTTTAATTGTTTAGCACTTTTTTGATAATATGTATTTTGTTCGCTTTTCTATTCGAGAAATTATGTTTTATTTCTTTTTTTTATTACCTTTCTATTAAATTGTTATATGTTGGAAAGAAAGTTGAATTATTTGGAGGAGTGCAAAAGGACAAAAGTATGGAAGAATATTAGGAGTTTGTAGCAGGTAAAAGAGATTAATAGAACGTAGAATTCAAAGAGGTTTAGGCCATAGGGCTCGGGGATTAGAGCTATAGGTGTTTTGGGTTAAGGTTTAGGGGTTTAGGTGTTAGAGGTTAGGGGTAGGGGTTACGGGGATAAGGGCTAAGATTTAAGGTTTAAAGGCTTAGGGGATTTGGATTTGGGTTTAGTGTTCTTTTGCTTCTTTTGCTCCACTAGCTCACCTTTCTTCTCCTATTTTTGTCTCTTATTATATTTTGTTGTTGTTCTTTAGATTTTCATATTTATGTGCGTGACAAATCTATTTTGTGTTTTAATTTCTGTTGTTTGTGGAATGGTTGTTTGCTTTTGAAAGATTAAGAAGAGTTGAAGGAGAAAAGTTTGCAAGGCGAGCTTATGATTGAAAAGATAAGTATATATATTCGTCCTTGTTGCATTGACTTTATTTTATATGTAAAATATGTTTTACACTTGAATATTTGTACTTGTTTTTGTGTTTATTGTTTTTTATGATCATTCTTTCTATTATTTTCATCCCCCACTACTCTCATTATCCGATAGATTCCTTTTCATTTATCGTTGTTGTTTTCATGTTTTTTCAAACCTTTAATTATTTAGCACTTTTTTGATAATATGTATTTTGTTCGTTTTTCTATTATAGGAGTTATGTTTTATTTCTCTATTTTATTTCCTTTCTATTAAATTGTTATATGCTAGAAAGAAAATTGAAATATTTGGAGGGGAGCAAAAGGACAAAGTATGGAAGAATATTAGGAGTTTGTAGCGTGTAAAAGTGACTAATAGAACGTAGAATTCAAAGAGGTTTAGGCCATAGGGCTCGGGGATTAGAGCTATAGGTATTTTGGGTTAAGGTTTAGGGGTTTAAGGGTTTAGGTGTTAGAGGTTAGGGGTAGGGGTTACGGGGATAAGGGCTAAGAGTTAAGGTTTAATGGCTTAGGGGATAAGGATTTGGGTTTTGTGTTCTTTTGCTTCTTTTGCTCCACTAGCTCATATTTCTTCTCCTATTTTTGTCTCTTATTATATTTTATTGTTGTTCTTTAGATTTTCATATTTATGTGAGTGACAAATCTATTTTGTGTTTTAATTTCAGTTGGTTGTGGAATGGATATTTGCTTTTGAAAGATTGAGAAGAGTTGAAGGAGAAAAGTTTGCAAGGCGAGCTTATGATTGAAAAGATAAGTATATATATTCGTACTAGTTGCGTTGACTTTATTTTATATGTAAAATATGTTTTACACTTGACTATTTCTACTTGTTTTTGTGTTTATTGTTTGTTATGATCATTCTTTCTATTATTTTCGTCCCCCAATACTCTCATTATCCGAGAGGTTACTTTTGATTTATCGTTGTTGTTTTCTTGTTTTTTCAAACCTTTAATTGTTTAGCACTTTTTTGATAATATGTATTTTGTTCGCTTTTCTATTCTAGGAGTTATGTTTTATTTCTCTATTTTATTACCTTTCTATTAAATTGTTATATGCTAGAAAGAAAATTGAAATATTTGGAGGGGAGCAAAAGGACAAAGTATGGAAGAATATTAGGAGTTTGTAGCGTGTAAAAGTGACTAATAGAACGTAGAATTCAAAGAGGTTTAGGCCATAGGGCTCGGGGATTAGAGCTATAGGTGTTTTGGGTTAAGGTTTAGAGGTTTAAGGGTTTAGGTGTTAGAGGTTAGGGGTAGGGGTTACGGGGATAAGGGCTAAGAGTTAAGGTTTAATGGCTTAGATTTTCATATTTATGCGAGTGACAAATCTATTTTGTGTTTTAATTTCAGTTGTTTGTGGAATGGATGTTTGCTTTTGAAAGATTGAGAAGAGTTGAAGGAGAAAAGTTTGCAAGGCGAGCTTATGATTGAAAAGATAAGTATATATATTCGTACTAGTTGCGTTGACTTTATTTTATATGTAAAATATGTTTTACACTTGACTATTTCTACTTGTTTTTGTGTTTATTGTTTGTTATGATCATTCTTTCTATTATTTTCATCTCCCAATACTCTCATTATCCGATAGGTTCTTTTTCATTTATCGTTGTTGTTTTCTTGTTTTTCCAAACCTTAAATTTCTTAGCACTTTTTTGATAATATGTATTTTGTTCGCTTTTCTATTCTGGGAATTATGTTTTATTTCTTTTTTTTATTAATTTTCTATTAAATTGTTTTATGTTGGAAAGAAAGTTGAATTATTTGGAGGAGAGCAAAAGGACAAAGTATGGAAGAATATTAGGAGTTTGTAGCATGTAAAAGTAACTAATAGAACGTAGAATTCAAAGAGGTTTAGGCCATAGGGATCGGGGATTAGAGTTATAGGTGTTTTGGGTTAAGGTTTAGGTGTTAGAGGTTAGGGGTAGGGGTTACGGGAATAAGGGCTAAGAGTTAAGGTTTAATGGCTTAGGGGATAAGGATTTGGGTTTAGTGTTCTTTTGCTTCTTTTGCTCCACTAGCTCTTATTTCTTCTCCTATTTTTGTCTCTTATTATATTTTGTTGTTGTTCTTTAGATTTTCATATTTATGTGCGTGACAAATCTATTTTGTGTTTTAATTTTAATTGTTTGTGGAATGAATGTTTGCTTTTGAAAGATTAAGAAGAGTTGAAGGAGAATAGTTTGCAAGGCGAGTTTATGATTGAAAAGATAAGTATATATATTCGTACTAGTTGCGTTGACTTTATTTTATATGTAAAATATGTTTTACACTTGACTATTTCTACTTGTTTTTGTGTTTATTGTTTGTTATGATCATTCTTTCTATTATTTTCATCCCCCAATTCTCTCATTATCCGGTAGGTTCTTTTTCATTTATCGTTGTTGTTTTCATTTTTTCCAAACCTTTAATTGTTTAGCACTTTTTTGATAATATGTATTTTGTTCGCTTTTCTATTCTAGGAATTATGTTTTATTTTTATTTTTTTTTTTACCTTTCTATTAAATTGTTATATGTTGGAAAAAAAGTTGAATTATTTGGAGGAGAGCAAAAGGACAAAGTATGGAAGAATATTAGGAGTTTGTAGCACGTAAAAAAGATTAATAGAACGTAGAATTCAAAGAGGTTTAGGCCATAGGGCTCGGGGATTAGAGCTTTTCGTGTTTTGGGTTATGGTTTAGTGGTTTAGGTGTTAGAGGTTAGGGGTAGGGGTTACTCGAATAAGGGCTAAGAGTTAAGGTTTAAAGGCTTAGGGGATAGGGATTTGGGTTTATTGTTTTTTTGCTTTTTTGCTCCACTAGCTCATCATTCTTCTCCTATTTTTGTCTGTTATTGTTTTTTGTTGTTGTTCTTTAGATTTTGATATTTATGTGGGTGACAAATCTATTTTGTGTTTTAATTTCAGTTATTTGTAGAATGGATGTTTGTTTTTGAAAGACTAAGAAGAGTTGAAGGAGATAAGTTTGCAAGGCGAGTTTATGATTGAAAAGATAAGTATATCTATTCGTCCTCGATCCATTGGCTTTCTGTTATATGTAAATTATGCTTTACACTTGACTATTTCTACTTGTTTTTGTGTTTTTTGTTTGTTATGATCATTTTTTCTATTATTTTCATCCCCCAATACTCTCATTATCCGATAGATTCTTTTCATTTATCGTTGTTGTTTTCATGTTTTTCCTAACCTTTAATTGCTTAGCATTTCTTTGATAATTTTTATTTTGTTCTATTTTCTATTATAGAAATTTTGTTGAACAGCAGAAGGCACAAAAGTGGCATTAATCCAGTTGAACAGCAGCTGAAATTCCAGCTGTAATCAGGTGAACAGACGCATGAAAAGCAGCTGCAAAGGGTGAGAGCAGAGGCAGCTGAAATTCATCAGAAAAGGCAGCAGTAACACCGTAAGAGAAAGCAGCTGGGATCCCGCTGAAAGCCAGTTAATTCAGAGCATCCGCTGGAACCGAGGAAAGAAACAAAAAAATAGCTGAAAAAAATCAGCTGCAGCAGCATCTGGACTGTTCACGTGAACAGTCCCCTTCTGATCAGAACCCACACACAGCCCCCAGCACTCCTTCATTGCAAAACCAAAAAAACAGTAGAGAGGCCAGCTGAGTGGCTCATACAAGCAAGAAACCAATTGGAAAACCAGCTGGAAAACAAGAAGATTCAGCAGTGCAGCAACCGGACTGCTCACGTGAGCAGTGGACTTGGACAGAGAAGAAATGCTGCTGAACAGAACCGTGAAATACCAACATCTGAGAGGAAGCCAATAAATGCCAACATGATACAGCAGAAGGCGTAAAAGTAACAATAAATCTCAGCTAGGAGCAGCTGAAGTCCCAGCTGAAAAGGCAGCAGTAACACCATAAGAGAAAGCAGCTGGGATCCCGCTGAAAGCCAGTTAATTCAGAGCAGCCGCTGGAACCGAGGAAAGAAACAAAAAAATCAGCTGCAGTAGCATCTGGACTGTTCACGTGAACAGTCCCCTTCTGATCAGAACCCACACACAGCCCCCAGCACTCCTTCATTGCAAAACCAAAAAAACAGTAGAGAGGCCAGCTGAGTGGCTCATACAAGCAAGAAACCAATTGGAAAACCAGCTGGAAAACAAGAAGATTCAGCAGTGCAGCAACCGGACTGCTCGCGTGAGCAGTGGACTTGGACAGAGAAGAAATGCTGCTGAACAGAACCTTGAAATACAAACATCTGAGAGGAAGCCAATAAATGCCAACATGATACAGCAGAAGGCGTAAAAGTAACAATAAATCTCAGCTAGGAGCAGCTGAAGTCCCAGCTGAAAACCAACTGTGTTCCAGTCAATAAACCAACTGAGATCAGCTGGAAGAGACAATCTGCAGCAATCGCGAAGCAGTTCACATGAACAGTGCATCCAGACAACAAGCAGCAGAAAAGCAACATGAGAACCCCCACAACAGCATTAAAGAAACAGATGTTGCCTGAAAAACCAGCAGGAACAAGGGAAACCAGCAGAGTCCTCCAAACTGAAAGCACCACATCACAGAGAGAACCAGTTGGAAAGAAAATCAGCTGACTAGAGCAAAACCAGCTAAACAGTCCAATGACCATAAACCATGGCAGCCTTAGCAAAAGCCCCATCATGTGAAATGGATCCATAATATAGGTAAAAAATCACAAAAATGGCGCACTTTTTCCTTGGCGTTTTAACACCTTGTTGATCCTGCATCTGGATTAATTTAGCCCGGAGAGGAATCTTTAAATCAAGTGTGAAATCCGAAGAGGTACCCTCCAAAACAGCAAATCACAAATTCTCCAAAACTTCCAGGCCCTCATGTGCCCTTTCATTATCATTTGAACCATCATGGCCGAATCAGTTTCAATCTGAAGATTATAATTTAGAAGTCCATAACTTCTAAATAGCAATAAACCATCCTTGAGAGCATGCAACTCAGCTTCCGTGTTGGAACACACCTCATAAAAAAAAGAAGCAGCCAGAACTATGTGCCCCAAGTCATTCCTTACCACAGCTCCGCCCCCAGCTCTTCCAGGATTTCCTTTCGATGCCCCATCCACATTTAGCTTTAAAATGCCCGAAGGAGGAAGGGACCAGTTTATGCAAATAATTTTTTGTTTCAGCTCATGCCTCAGCTCTACCTTTAATGCCCTCAAGAATTCCATACCAATCATGCCTTCCTTATCTTTGGGTCTAACGCCATAAGCCTGAAGACGCAGAGTGGAGCAGATATCTAGAAACACAGCATAGGCCGAGAGTGAGCTATCTTCATAGACCCTTCTGCATCGCTCCCTCCATAATCTCCAAATTACCACCAGTGGAACACCTCTTAACAAGTTCTGACTTACAGAGTGTTTTTTAAAAATTTTGATCAGTCTCATCATACAAACCAAAGGATTCAGCAGAGAAAACCTGAAAACCACGAAATGCAGCCAGTTTCCCCCAAACCTCTTTATCAAAGTTGCATTGTATGAACAGGTGAGAAGTAGATTCCACAGCCTTGTAACGTAGAGAACATCTGCTGGCCAAATCAACACCGACCCGTTGGAAGTTTGAGTCCTCTACTACTGCTTTCTGATATATCTTTCAGCCCAGCAGTTTTGCACTTGGGAAAACCGATTGGTTCCAGATCACAGAGGTCACAGGCACAGGGACACTCGAAGCTCTCACTGCCTCCCAAGCAGACTTGACATTGGACTCTCCCGAATCAGTTAATTTCAATATCAGTCGATCTTCCTTTTCGCTTAAACAAATCATAGAATTCTGTACTTCATGCTTTAACTGTTCAGATACCTGCACCCCCAAACTTTGCCACTGCCAGCACCCATCAGCCCATAACTCATCCAGGCATGGAAAGCACGAGGGAGAAACGGCATACCTGAGCAGAAGAGGGCCAGATCCAGTCCAGTTCGAACACCAAAAGTCAACATTCTTCCCATTCCCCACCATGACCTGTGAGTTGGTCATAATCAAGCTAAAGAAAGGTTGCAGCATTCGAAATATACGCATTTTTCCAGTACCCGTGCATCACATCAAGTGATTGCCTTTTAAGAATTTTTCTCTAACCATGTTTGCCCACAGAGATTCGCCCTTAAGAATACCCCATGCCTGCTTCCAACGGTATGCCGTTTGGATATCTTCAAATTTACGAATCCCTAGGCCCCCCCTCTTGCTTGGGTCTTGTAATTACAGACCATGAAACCCAATGCCTTTTCCTTTCCCCCATCCTGCCTAGCCACATAAAGGAGGCCATGAGAGAATTCAACTTTGCCAGGATGCCTTTGGGCACGCTTAGACAAGCGAGCAAATGAATAGGAACAGAATTAAGGACTGATTTAATCAACACAATTCTGCCCATGTTTGAAAGTAAGCGTGCGTACCACCCTTCCATTTTGGCTTTGAATTTTAGGACCACATCCTCAAAATCCCGCAGTTTATATCTTCCTCTTACCATGGGGCATCCCAGGTAGACGAAGGGACATTGTTTTATTGGAATTTGAGCAATTCTGGATAGAGTCATTGTCCTGCCCCGAGGAATATTGGAGGAACATATGAAAGAGCTTTTATGTTTACTTATCCTCTGTCCAGAGCTATCCTTGTATCTTGCCAAAAACCTCATCAATCGTTCCATGGAAAGTTTATTACCCCTAAGAAACAGTAGAGTATCATCTGCAAAAAGCAGATGAGAGACAAGAAGTGCATTCCTCCCTGCATGAAAAGCCTTGATTCTGCCTTCACCATACAGCTTCAACAGTCCTCTACTTAAAACCTCCTCTGCCAGAATAAAGAGAGCCGGAGAAATTGGGTAACCTTGTCTCAGTCCTCTAGACGAAGGAAAGAAACCGAATCTTTTCCCATTCAAGCAGACCGATAAAAATTGATTCTTTAAGCAGTTGCCAATGATAGAAATGAACAAGCTTGAAAAGCCAAAACAAGTCAAGGTTCTTTTCAAAAAATCCCACTCTATGCGATCGTACGCCTTCAAAGTGTAAATAAAACATATATTTGTACTAGCAATGCGCCACGTGCGTTGCAAGTGACTAATTTTTTTAAAAAAAAATTAATAAATAATTATTTGGTATATATGTTTGAATTAAATATCATCTCAATTTTACCAAATTTATTTTTTCATTGCTCATGCTCCATTATAGAATTTTTGAAAATTTTGTATATTTTCAAGATTGGTTATTCTAACTTTAAGAAAAATGATCGGTTATTATTTGATATAACATCGTTTAAAAAGTTTACTATAACTAAAAAATTATATAGAACTATATATACATTATTTTTTTCTTAAAAATAAAATGGTTTTGATGAAAAATAAAATATACATACGTAGTCATAATATTATCTTTATAAATGAGATGAGTAATATTATATTAATGGAGTTTTTGAAGGTTTTTTTTTTAATATTTTGTTAAAACTTATAATAATGCATATGTTTTTGAAGAGTAATATAATAAGTCAAAAAGTTTCATAAAAATTGACATTTATAAATAAAGAATAAATAATTAAAAAATTAATTTGATTAAGATTTTACTTATAAATCATTTAATAAAATAAAAATAATTATCAATAAATTAATCATATTGGAACCTTGCTGTATTAAGATTATCTAGGTCAATTGTGATAAAATTTAATATACAATGCTATAATCTATATAATAAAGTAGAGTTGAGTTTGAATCCAAGAGACAAAGAGTGGTTCAGATCGTTTTGAGACAAAACATAAGCACATCCGACGGACAATGTAATCTCAAATAAAAGACGGTTCAGATCATTTCAAAAATTTTGATCTAACGGTATATTGTGATTACCGAAATTAGTTTCCCCGCCCAACAAAATTCCTGTTTTAATTATAAGGGCTTTTTGCTTGACTGACGCCCCAGTCTCCTCTGATTCCCCCATATCTTCCCCTAAAATCTCTCTCAGAATCCTTCTCAATCTCATCCTCTGCCTTCCAAACTCATCCCCCAAAATCTTCCCCTACTCATCCCCAAAATCTCCAAAATCTCTCATGCCCAGCTCATCCCCAAAATCTCTTACGCCGAGGTATCTCAGTAATTGCTCTAACAATTTGTCTCCTCCCTTTCTCTCTGGAGTCCAACTCCGGCGACCCAAATATTCCAACATTCACCACAACTCTCACCATGCTTTTCCTAAACCCTATTTTTTTTTTTTTTGAAAAAAAGGAGGATATATTGAAATGAGCAGAAATTACAAGCAAGGAAGCCGGGCTTTAACAAAAACAAGGAAGCCAATGTGGCATAAACCATCAAAAAAGAAAAGGACATAAAATGGGACATGAAGGCCAGCAAAAGCCAGCTGAGAGTCCAGCTGGAGGAAAGCTGGAAACCCAAGAGACAGCAACTGCGAGATGATGAAAACCATGAGGAATGAACATAAGCCCAGAACCAACACAGCAACTGAGAGCCCGCTGAGAACAAATCCCCAGCTGACTGCCGAAGGAAGCAGCAACAGAGAAACCCACAGCAGCAGACCAATAGCCAGCGTCAAGCAGATGAAAGAACCGCTGAGAGACCATGAGAAAATCAGCAAAACCAGCTGAAGAAAAAGAGACCAGAGGTGGCCAGCAGCAGCGACAAGAAAGCTGTGCACATGAACCATTGACACCATCAAAACAGCACAGCAATCACAGCAGCAAGTGGAGCCCATAAGAACCAGCAGAGAACCACAAAGAAATCATGGAAAACCAGCTGGAAACCCGTTGAGACCAGCTGGAAATCCAGCTGAAAACCCTCTGAGCAGAACCGTGGAAAGCCTTCAATGTTTACCAAAGATAAAGTCTGATAAAACCAGCTGTAGCAACAAAATGAGCCACGATCCCCAGCTGAAATCAGCACAAAATCCAGCTGAGATCCAGAAAAAACCAGCTGAAAGAGCCCATCAGTAGCCGCAAACAGGCTGTCCATGTGAACAGTAGCGTGAACAGTGTGTCATGACCAAAACAGTTGAAAACCATCTGAAAATCACCCACAGCAGCTGCAATATCAGTAGAGGTCAGCTGAGAAAAACCGCCAGCAGCAGGAAGCAGACTGTTCACGTGAACAGTCGCGTGAATAGTACTCCCTGACCAAAAACAGCAAAAAAGCCACCGGAATGTCCCCCCCAGCTGCATTTAATGTACAAATGTTGCCTAAGCTTCCCAGCAGGGTAAAGGAAGCAAACACACCAGCTGCGAGAAGCCAAGCAATGAGAAACAAAAGCCCCAGCCCGATTGGATGATTCATAAGTAAAAACCAAAGAATCAAAAATTAGTAAACTTTTTCCTTGACGTTTTAACACCTTGTTGATCCTGGATCTGAATTAATTTTGCCCGGAAAGGAATCTTCAAATCACGTGTGAAATCCGAAGAGGCACCCTCCAAAACAGCAAGGTTTGCAAGACAGTCAGCTAAGCAATTTGCTTCCCTGTATACATGAGCCAAACTAAAATTCATGCCCTTCAATAACTCCATGATCTCATCACAAATCTTCCAAAACTTCCGGGCCCTCATGTGCCCTTTCATCACCATTTGGACCATCACCGCTGAATTAGTTTCAATCAGAAGGCCACAGTCTAACAGCCCATAACTTCTAAACAACAATAAACCATCCTTGAGTGCATAAAGCTCAACCTCCATGTTTGAACAAACCTCATAGAAAAAAGAAGCAGCCAAGACAATGTGCCCCCATTCATTCCTTACCACAGCTCCAGCCCCAGCTCTTCCAGGATTTCCTTTCGATGCCCCATCCACATTTAGCTTTAAAAAACCGGAGGGAGGAGGGGACCAGTTAATCCAAATAATTTTTGGTTCCAGTTCCTGCCTCATCTCCACCTTTAAGGCCCTCAAAAGATCCATCCCCATCATGCCTTCCTTTGCCTTGGGACGAGTACCATAAGCCCGAAGACGCAAAGAGGAGCAAATATCAAGAAAAACAGCATGGGCCGAAAGTGAGATATCTTCATAGACTCTTCTGCATCGCTCCCTCCATAGTCTCTAAAAGACCACCAGTGAAGTACCTCTTAATAGGTTATTGCTAACAGAGTTTTTTTTTTAAATTCTAATCAACCTCATCATACGAACCATGGGAGATTCAGCCGAGAAAATCTGAAATCCACAAAAGGCAGCAAGCTTCCCCCAAACCTCTTTAGTAAAGTTGCATTGTGTGAATAGGTGAGTCGTAGTTTCCACTTCCTGATGGCATAGAGGGCATCTACTGGCCAATTCAACGCCAATACGTTGGAAATTTGAGTCCACCACCACAGCTTTCATATGTATCTTCCATCCCAGCAGTTTTGCACTTGGAAAGACAGATTGGTTCTAGATCGCAGAGGTTATAGGCACAGGGTTATTTGAAGTTCTCACCGCCTGCCAAGCTGATTTGACATTGAACTCTCCCGACTCGGTTAATTTCCATATCAATCGATCTTCTTTGCCACATAAACGAATCCCAGAGTTATGGATTTCGTGCTTTAATTGCTCAGAAATCTGGACTCCCAATAACTGCCACTACCAGTCCCCTCTTGCCCATATCGCATCTAGACTTAGAAAGCTCGAGGGGGAGACATCGTGCCTGAGCAATAAAGGGCCAGATCCTGCCCAGTTCGTGCACCAAAAATCCACAGACTTCCCGTTTCCCACCAAAACCTAGGAGTTCTCCATAACCAAGCAAAAGAAAGGTTGCAGCATTCGAAATGTACGAGCTTTTGCAGTGCCCAGACATCATAACATGTGTTTGCCTTTTAAGAATTTTGCTCTAAACATGTTCGCCCAAAGAGAGTCACCCTTTAGAATTCCCCATACCTGCTTCCATCGAAAAGCAGTTTGGATGTCCTCAAATTTACGAATTCCAAGCCCCCCTCTTGCTTGGGTCTTAAAATATCTTGAAACTCAATGCCTTTTCCTCTCCCCCATCCTGCCTGACCAAATAAAGGAGGCCATCAAAGACTTCAACTTGACCAGGATGCCTTTGGGCACCCTAAGACAAGAGAGCAAGTGAATAGGGACTGCACTGAGGACCGATTGAACCAATACAATTCTGCCCATGTTTGATAGCAAGCATGCATACCACCCTTCCAATTTAGCCTTGAATTTTAGAACCACTTCCTCAAAATCCCGGAGTTTATATCTTCCTCTAATTATGGGGCAGCCTAGGTAGGTGAAGGGGCATTGTTTAATTGGAATTTGTGCAATTTTGGAAAGTGTCATTCTCCTGACCAGGGGAATTTTGGAGGAGCAGATTAAGGAACTTTTCTGCTTGCTTATTCTCTGACCAGAGCACTCCTCGTATCTTGCCAAAAATCTCACCATTTGTTCCATGGATAGTTTATTCCCCCTAAGAAACAACAGAGTGTCATCTGCAAAAAGAGGATGAGAAATAAGAAGAGCACCCCTCCCTGCATGAAAAGCCTTGATTCTGCCTTCACCATACAGCTTCATCAAGCCCCTGCTTAACACTTCCTTGGCCAAAATAAAGAGAGCAGGTGAGATTGGGCCACCTTGTCTCAACCCTCTAGACGAAGGAAAATTGCCAAATCTTTTCCCATTCAAGCAGACCGAGAAGAATTGGTTCTTTAGGAAGTTACCAATGATGGAAACAAATAAGTTTGAAAAACCAAAACAGCCCAAAGTTCTTTCCAAAAAGTCCCACACCAATGCGGTCATATGCCTTCATCATATCCAATTTAAGAATCACGTTGCCTGCTTCGACTTTTCTATCAAGCTCGCCCACCATTAACTGTGCTAAAGAAATACAATCCCCAATCCCTCTCCCTTTGACAAAACCGTGTTTTGCATTTGAGATCAGAGACGGAATGAGAGCCACAAGTCTATTGGATAGGACCTTCGTGAAGACTTTGTACAAAAAATTGCATAGGCTTATGGGCCTAAAGTCTGTGAAAGAGCAAGGCTTCATCACTTTTGGAATCAAACACAAGGAGTGTGGAGTTAACAGATCTTGGAATCACTCCCCCACTCAAGAAAAAATTAACCGCCTCCAAAAGGTCGCTTTTAACAATATCCCATGCTACTTGAAAGAATCTACCAGAAAAACCGTCAGCGCCAGGGACGCTTTCCACAGACATAGAAAAGACAACCTGTTTCACTTCGGTTAAGGTAGCAGTCATAGTCAAGATCTCGTTAGCCGCTGGTCCAACAAGTTTAGGAATAACCCCAAATAGCTCTTCATCAAGCCCATGGTCCTCTGACATGTACAGTTTAGCAAAAAAGGTTGTGGCCTGTTGAGAGATCTCCTCCTCAGAGTCACACCATTCACCATCTTCACCTTTAATCCTCATCAGTCTGTTCCTCACAGCCTTCCCTTTGGCCAAAGCATGAAAGAACTTGGTATTCCTCTCCCCGTGTAGTGCCCATTTTATGTTAGCTTTTTGTCTCCAGTACAATTCTTCCAACCTAAGTGTTTCCTCTAGATTCTTTCTTGCAGAGTAGTTATCATCCACAGAACGTTCTGCCTCTCGCAAAGCCAATTCCTGCATACTAATCTTTTCAAAAATGTTCCCAAACACCTCCTTGTTCCATTTTTTGATATTAAACTTTAGCATTTTTAGTTTGAGGAAGAAGTTCTCAGCGTTAGCAAACATTCTGTCCAGCCGTTGCCACATTCTCGAATTAGCCCCTCCGATTGAATACAGTCCCCAAATTCATCCATTGCCAACACAGATGGAGAGGCACCCCCCCATTCTTTCATTTGACCTCATCACAATGTTAAAATCCCCCATCACCAACCAGGGCATAGCAAAGGATGTAGAAATAACCTGTAAGTGTCCCCACAAGGGCCTCCTTAACAAGTAAGTCACAACAACCATACACCACCGTAACTAACACTGGATCAGCTCCCTGGTAGGAGACTGACACGGTCATAGCTTGTTCAAAGTGCAGCATGCTCTTAACTTCCAAGTTATCATTCCATAAAAGCCACATATTTTTCTCTGCCTTTGTGTTTGCCATAAAAGAATTTAACCCAACAGCAAGACCAAAATTCCTTAGTTTGGTATGGGACATTTTTGGTTCAATAACAGCGAGAAGACTCACCTTATTCATTACAATTAATTTCTTTAATTTGCTTCTTAGGCTCTCTTTTCCAGCACCCCTTACATCACCTTATTCATTACAATTAATTTCTTTAATTTGCTTCTTAGGCTCTCTTTTCCAGCACCCCTTACATTCCACATTAGGAAATTCATCATAAAGAATTTGTTTCATCATTACCTCTGGGACTATGCCCAGTACTGCAGTCGGAGTAGTTCACTGTTGTTTGGTTTAGCAAGATAATTCCTTGATCTTCATTTACAGTGGCATCTTCACTTGAATCAGCCCAATTTTTTGAGCTTTCTTGATCAGAGTAAAAGCCCCTGTCTGGTGGTTCTTTATCCCTCCTGAGTCCACTTTCGTCATCCACGGTGTAATTTTGTCTGCCTCTTAGCTCATACAGATGATCCACAAAGAAAGAAGATGAGGTAGGTGAATGAGATTGTTTATTTAACGAGCACATTACTGTACCTGCCATCTGTTGCACCTCTTTAGACCCTTCCGCCTGAGGTTGAGAAAATAGAGCATTATCCATACCGTTCTGTATACCCTTTTCACCTCTTTCGGGAGATACCTCCATTAATGACATTTCTTTCTCCTTTTCTGCGCCCTGTAACCTCTCCTCATCCGGTGTTACAGTAACCAAATCCTCCTTGTTTTTTGCCTCAGAACTTACAACAGTGCTTTTTTAAGTAATTGAATCCCCGTTATGATTTTCGTTTCATCTTTTCCTCCTCTGCGACATCCTTGCCCGAATGCTCTCCTCTTAACACATTAAATTTATTGGCATCCTCCTCTCCTCCTACATCTAAATTTATAGGATTCGAGAAACTGTGGTGCTTGGTGACCCTCTTTCACGGTTACTTTGGAATTCGCTTTTTTTGTGACTTTCTGCCATGCCTTATCTTTCCCCTTAAGGTCCTCGTCTTTTTTCGAGATGCCAGCTTTCTGCTTTCTTTCCTCCTTAGGGTTGTATGCCTGTTTGTCCACTTTGTTTTCCTCTTCCCTTTTGCCTTTACGACACTCGAGCATCCCATGGCCTTCTTTCAAACACCCAGCACAATACTTCACCAATTTTTCATAATTAATCTTTTGCCAACGCCCACTTGTTCCGCCAAAATCCAGCCAAAGACGAGATGGGTTATCAGCTAATAAATTAACTTCGACACATACGCTAGCCACACCTGGCCTAGATAATAGGGAGGGTGGGTGAGTCAATTACAAGGATTCTCCCGATGGGACTCAAAATGTCCCGAAGGCTCTCCTTATCAAAGAGGTGAATTGGCAAACCTGGGAGAGAAATCCAAATAGGAACCACTGGTGGTTCAATCCCAGGCAGGAACTCCGAAAACCACTTGAAGAACCTGAACAAGAAGCCCTCGATGTGTGTTGCATCTGTGAAACCGGGAAAATTTGAACTTTTTCTTAGAAAGGGTAAAATGGTAATTTGTCATCCTAATGCGTATTTAAAATACTCATGTTCTAGACCTCGGTTGAGGAAACGGAGTTCGCCGTTGGATTCGTATCGCAAAATCTAATCACCCTGTCAAATTTCGTCGAATTTCGAGATAGACGAATTTTTGCACGTTGTTCAAGGCAACTACGAGGCGAATGACATTTTAAAGGTCCCCAAAAATGAATTTTTTAATTTTTTTCTTAAAATCAAGTTAAAGTTCCAATACAATTAATTTTAACTAAATCTGAGGTATAACAAATCGTTTCGGAACGAAAAACGGACCCGGAAGTCTGAAATATGCGGTGCGATGTGGACCACACATTCAGGACTATAAATACCTACTTGACTTAAATATTTTGGAAAAAATATCTCATGTTCTTGACCCTTGGCCGGCCATAGAGAGAAGAGAATGAAAAGAGAGAAAAACAAGTAAGTTCTTCAAGCTTCAATCCAAGATTCTCGGAGTTTCGTCGGTCGGAATTCGTCGAGTCAAGAATCAAAGTTCATCTCCTCGACGAGGGTTACGTGTACGTACCAAGAAAAGTGGATTTCACCGAAGGTGCAAAGAAAAGACTTTGGAGGAATCAAAGGTTCTTGGGCTTGTTTTGGTGTTTTTTAGAAGTTCTACCACTTCTTACACGCTACAAGAGGTAGGGTTCGCTCCTACCTTGGTTTATTCTTACCTTAAGTGGGCTTTTAGTGGCTGAAAATGGTTTATATGTGGGCTGTCCAAATAGACTGTTAAGGGGCTGAATTTGGACTGTTAAGTGGCTGAATTACGGACTGTTTTGGTGCTGAAATTGGGGCTGTTTTGTGCACTAATTAGGGCTGTATACAGACTGTTTTGGGGCTGTTTTAAGGCCTACTTTGGGCTTTTTGGGCCTATTTTGGGGCGGTTTAGTGGTCTAAATTTTGGCCACTATGGGCTGATTTTCTTGTGGGCTGAAATATGTGCTATTTTTTGTCTTTTAAATTAGTGTTGTTTTTGACATAGATTATGTGATAACATGCTTGTCAATTGTGTTGAA